TCTGTTTTTCAAGCTAAATTTAGATAGCACCGCAGTTCTATTCAAGCCCACACATTTATAATTATAAGCAAACGCTGTTTTATTTTAGAATTATCTTGCGAGCATCATTGTTTGTTGTCATCAGAGTACTTCCGCTAGGACCTACAGGACTCTATAGTAAACGTGTCGCTCTCCATGACCAACTTCTACAAAGTACCGAAAAATCTAATTGTTGAAAACATACTACCGGTAAGTTGAAGATTATGAACTGGAACTCGAAGGCCTCAAAACACATTCTATGCCCAGGAATATAACGGCACACGGCGTTTGAATCAGTCACAGTACCGACCGTTACATCGCGAGTCATCGAATAGTAGCACCGCAAACCAAGGGTCATTCAATAACCAAACACTCCCTTGCTCCCTTGCTCTGTCCGACTGTGTGCGACCCGAGTCCACGTCGCGAGCTCAGTTTCTATTTACGAAATACCAAATATATTGATACTTAATGGGCCCGGCAACGTTAAATTATAAGTGCCACAACGCCATTGAACAATCAATACGTCACTTCCTGAGTCCTATTCGTGAGGTCGTATCTGTGAGGTTCTATTCGTGAGGTATATAGCGTGCGCATACATCAATTGACTGTGTTGGGTTTGGAGCACCGCGGAGGGCGCAACTCACGCGACCTTCTCAGGCTACGCTTGCACAAGGTAACTTAGAATCACATGGTGTGGGCGGTGAACATTGGATAAGGAAAGCCACTAAGATAGTATGTACTGATAATAGGAGTCAAACAAAGAATATACAGTTATAGAGTTCATGTTATTATAAACACCATTATCTCGAAAGGTCAACTCGTGTCAATTGATTTTTTCAACATAGCGATAAAAAAGAGTTTAACTTATAATTAGGGTAATCAAAGTACATAACACAACGCAGATATAACATGTTCAGTTGAACGACCAAATAAACGAATAACAACTACACAATATCCATATAATTGATCAGAATAAAGACGTTATGACAATGACATACGTAGACTCAACTCCTGTCTCGCTTCGCTGCGCTGCGGTCGCAAGAAACTAGGGGAATTTAATGATAGCAATCATTCCAAAGTATGATGAAAAATAATGTTATCAAAATCAAAATTTAACACGTACTTGTCAATGAAATCAGCCAATAACTGGTCACAAATGCAATTACCTTATAATGATTTAATTCAATGTATAATGCACAGCAAGTCTCCGCACACTGGCATGCCCGCCTTTTTCATGGTACAAATACAAATTTGTCATCTCTGTTCGAATTTGAGTTGTACATTTTTTCACGTCACTGGAACACATCAACTCATCAAAATATATGAAATATTGGTTGACTAATATATTAAACCCTAAAACATACTCGTTCGACCGTGAATCTGAAATGGGAACTATTTGCTATTTGCTCATGTGAACTGTTATTTTAGCGGGAAAATATAGTATATTTTTTATTCAGCATCCTGTTTAATACGTATCAGTTCTGTTATGGTACCAAGTTCAAGACAAGTTATTTTATTTACTATTAATTATAAGTTCACCAATAAGTTCAAGCTATAATTCCGTTTTCACATACTTTTCTAAAATCACTCATGACAATCGTAGTTCAAACATAGACACTCTACTGTAAAGTTTAAGGTTCAAACAATGAATAATTCAGTGAGGCTGTCATGTAATATATATTTACTCTTTATGTTATCGAATGCAATGCAGTCAAATTACATTCATTACATTATTCACTGACAA